ATATATATATATACATAATTAAATGCATGCAATTAAATCATTAACTTTACCGTAAGAGATAGGCCTTTTCTTGGATTAGCTGCCGCATTAGTCGTAGTAGTCTGTATACGAATTTGTGTGACTGTCTGAGCTGGTCTGACAGTTTGCACAGCTATTGGCGTGCTTTCTACAGGTGTTATCACCGTCGGTGTAGTTACTGCCAATACAGCAGTGGGTGTTGTAGTAGTGGTAGTAGTTAACGTAGTAGCTATATAATACAAAATGTTTAATCAAAATCTGAACAAAATAACATGGTCTTTTTAGTAACTGCAACTTACGTGTTTGCTGTGTAGTCGTAACTGAAATACTGCTTGGCGTGCTAGGTGCGGTATAGGATTGCGTTGTAACTACTACAGTTGGTGTAACAGGCGTAGCAGGCGGATTTATTGAGGCCAATCCTTGCGCGTACTCCGGAGTGGTAGTTTCTACAACTGATGGAGTTGCTGGATTCTTTTCTGCCACAGTGGCTTGTGCTTCCACTGCTTTTTTCTGTTGCTCTTCGAAATCCATCATCTTTTTTCTTTTCTTTGCTACAAATCCCATAGGTTGCTCAGTAATATCCAACAATTTAATACCACCATCCTTTCGAATTCTGCTGATCGATGTTCTATTAGACATAGAAGTGTTCGTAAGCGATGGAGACCGAAAACCGCTTGTTGGAACTCTACTTGGAATTCCTTTCAAAGGTGCTAAAAAAAGTATATACAATGTAGTATATTGCAGATAATACAAAGAAGTAACATTGCATTTATAAATTTATATATACTTGTATCAGTCATTTTTCTTGGCATTCCTCTGCTTCTTACTGGTACAGTAGGAGCTGTGCTCTTTTTGAGATTACTAGCAGCATCAGTGCTTTTTTGAAGCAATTCTGCTCTTAAGGCTGCACTTTTTGGTTTCCTCTTAAGAGTAAAATGTTTGACTGGCGTAGGTTGCTGACCTACCACTGAAGTCAATGCAGTCTTGTTAAGGTAATGACACTCTAAGGGAAGCATAGCAGGATCATTCTGTTTCTTGAGAAGTTTCCGTAATTCATTGACTAATTCACCAAAAATTGGTCTATGTTCATCCAGATCAGTGATGTCTGTATTTAAAGAACCAGTCGATGGAAAAGTTTTCATCGCTTCGGATAACATTGATACCCACAATTCACTGTCCACAGCTGCAATCTCAATAATCTCCTCCAGTTCTGCACGCCACTGTCATCAGGTTTGAATAATAAAATTTTAAGAAAAGTATTTAATACAAAAAGAAAATTCTAAATCCATTAATAGGCGAATACTCGATGAAAGTATGAAGATATAAAGATAGAAGAGAACACTTACCTCTTCAACATTACGTCTGGGTATGTGAAAAAACGACAAGAGTAGCTTGAGTTTAACCTGCGTTTGCAAGTCGGGAAAACAATCCTTGATGTTCCGCAATACCTCGGCATTGAGTTGCGAGCAAATTGAGCTACCGGTCCAGCTATCGTTTGATGTACCGAGCTTATTATGCAGCCACAACGATGTATCACTGTCCCTCACATTCGCCATATTGGAGTCGTTTGATTCCGGCGCGTGCCGTACCTCACTGTAGTGCGCCACATGCGGTGACATGCGGTTCCCGCCATGAAGCAACGAACATGCGCGCGCATATCAGCACATGTCCTTCCTGGATACCCGTAGCCTATAAAGGTGCCTTTTCATGCTTGACCATCGACGCTCATTTTTGGCATCAAAATAAGTCACGTGATAAAAATTGACAAATGCCAAGCGTCGATTTTGATCACGACTTATTGACGATTGATGACACACGATTTGATTTATTTTGACGCTAAAATTGAGAGTCAGGTAAGCATGAAAATGCACCTTAAAGGTATCTTTTTGTGTTGAGAGCAGTGCAATTACGCATTATAGCAATTGCTCACTGCCAATCACAGCGACTTCTGCGTAGGGAGTTTAAAGTTATTTTTTTGTAATTGGCTTGTACGCAATTGGATCATTCACGTAATACATTTACCACTCTCTCCCTGTGAGGCTCTCTACGCGAAACAGATCGGTATTCATAGGCTACTTTTTCATACTGACGCTCGATGCTCATTTTCAGCGTCAAAACAGAGGCCCTATTCTTGAGCATATATGAATAATTTTTCCATACGAAAATGACAATTTCTTGATTGTAATTGATCAATTGTATACGAAATTGCTATTTTCGTGTGCGATATTTGTTCAGGAATAGAGCCCCAGGTGACGTGATTAAAATTGATGCTTGGTATTCATCAATTTGGATCACGTGACGTTTTGATGCTGGAATCGAGCGTTGAGCGTCAGCATACAAATGCAGCCATAAGGTGCGTTTGGGAAGACGCTATTAGTGCCATTTCTGTTATTCTATCCTTGGAATTTGCGTTATTTAGATAATTTTGATTTATATTTTATATTAATAAAGACCCAAACTAAAGGGTTGAAACGTATATTTTATTTGTTTTGTTACATTCACACGAAAAATAAAGAATTTTTGTGCATCCAAATAATTGGTGTAGGCTCTGATGGATTTTTTTACATTTTTCACTAATACATTCTATCCTTGTTTTACGTCTAATAAACAACAAAGATAGAATAACAGAAGTAACGCTAATAGTGTCTCCCCGAACGCAATAATCGATTCTTACATTTAAGACTGTTTTAAGTCAATCTTAAGATGTCGTAAGTCAATCCGAAGACTATATTAACATCTTAAGATATAGCTGTGTTTGCTTTGGCGTTCATAATGCTTTAAGCATCATTTCATTCTTGTTGTTTAGTAAATATTAAACAAGGACAATTAATGCTCATAAGCGTTGTAAGCGGCAAAGCGAACGCAACCATTATATTTAGGACGGTTTTGAAATAAAAACGGACTATGAGAGAATACCACCCCATGTTTTTTGCGTCACAGGTATAGGGCTTAAGCCTATTCTATAATATGCTCTTTGTTTCCTGTTTCTTGTTTTTTTACCTTTTGCTTTTTTCTCCTTTGCAACCGTTTTATCAACAATTATATTTTTTGCTACGTATTTCTTGTTACTTTCGAAGTTCGTTAACTTTTATCTCGGGCGATATAAAACAAAAAACCGGATAAAAAGTAAAAAAAGCAAGATGTAAAAAAATAACAAAAGGCAAAAAATCGGAAACAAACAGCACATTGTAGAACAGGCTTTACGGAACGTAAAAGCAGAGAAACAGAGAGCGCTAATTTTAAAGAGAGACGCTTGTAAACTGAGCACACCATATAATCTTTCCATCATGAGTCATGACACAAGAAGGATCTTGGTAGCCACGACTACAAGCTGAGTCGATACGGCTAGGATCGAAAATGGCCACCGGAGGCGGCGATCTCGCAAGTGGTCTCGCATAGAGTAGTCGAACGAGTTAAGAGGGGGAGCATATGCTCCATACGCAGCGAATCATGACACACTATGTTATCCCTTCCACGTCCACCATGGATTGTAGACCAACAAGATGAGGGATCTTTTCGGTCCTCCCCGATCATCCGATGTGCAGCTTTGGTTTGGTATGTGTTCTGACAGTTGTGTGAGTTGTGTTCGATGAGATGTAGTTGCACGTGTTCATCTCGATTTATGTGCGTCTTTCAATTAATTTTCAAGTGCAAATTGCAAATATGTTAGGCTCGAATGTTGTTTCAGATTCTCAGGAATCTGCATTGATGGATGAGGAAACGTATAAGGATTTGATAGAAAAGACTTTGTAAGTAACTTTCATTTAGCTCTGTTGCTCGTCTATTGTACCGGTCGATCGCGTTTCTGTAGCACGAGTATGTTCTTTCACACAATGAAAGACTCTTCTCAATTAAATGCTTCAGAAAAGGGTTTGATTCAGCCTAAAACAAAGTTAATTAAGTGATATACAAAATTATACGAAAAATACAGATGCATGAGATGAATTAGGCCAAAAAAATTCTAACAATAAAAGATGATGCAATATTCGGATCACAGTACAACCGTTCGAGACCACGTTTGAAACTATGGATAAAGCCTACATTACATGACGCTGATTTTCTTGCTGGTTTAGCTGATAGATCCATTGTGTTAGTTGCGTACTGCTTTGTTGTCTACGTTGTGTACAGCTAGTCATGGCTTTGTATGTATTTACTCATTTGCGAGTTAGCTCGATGAACAATATACGGACGTACACATATAAGATATTACACAATAACATAAGAATTATATTGAAACATAAGAGGAAATAAATTATTAAAAAAGTATATATATATATATAGATAATATATATGCAGGCTGTTAATATAACGCTTCGCATGCGATGTAGCAGGAAAACGAGCATTGTGTGCCGCCTGCTTAATTGTTTAGTTGCATACTACGACGCGTTCTTTTTTGTGAAATGAATCTGGCAGAAAAAAAGTGTCGCCTACCCCGTATATATAAACCGAGATATTAATCGTTAAAAGTTGACCAACTATTTAAGTTAATAAATCTGTCATACCTGTGAAAAAGTCTCTGAGAAATTATTTCAAAAAATCGAAAATTTTATTAACAATTCTGCTTGTACCCGTAAGTTCTATATCTTTTCTGTTAGGAAAGATATAGTTCTGTTGATTTAGTTAAAAAGAAAATAAAAATAAAAATATGAGGTGCTAATTTCGCGTGGCATTTCAGTTTCGAAAAAATTGATTATATTATGAAATTTTATGATTAAAGAAGAGTTATGTAGTTCCTGATATATTTTAGTAATTGTTCTTTAAAGGATCCTCTACGTAGAAGTCGTACGAAAATAACCAATCACAATCAAATACTCTATTAGAAATACTCTATTAGATTGATTAGTTTCCTATGACTTAGACTCCACTTAGTCTCTACGACTTCTATGTAGAAGACCCTTAGGTATTTTTAAATAAATTTTTTATCTGAGAGCTGGCATCTTAAGTTTCAAAAAAATTTATTTTTATTATGATATTCTTTTATTTTCGAAGAGTTTTACAATTCCTGATAAGTTTTAGTGACAGTTTCGGCCTTTAAATACTTTTAAACATGAGCTTACTTTTTTAATATGAGCGCTGGAACTTCATCACAAACGAGTAAAGTATCTCTTAACAATCAGTTCCAGCCGACTTTTTAGTATTTTCTGTTAACATACTGAAAAATCGCTGAAATTTCTTTGAAATTTCTCTGAAATTTAGCTGAAATTTTTCTGAAATTTTGTTGAAAATGACCTTTTCAGCTAAAAATCGCTGAAATTTGTCTGAAATGCTAAAATTTTACCGAAAAGTATTCCAAAACATGGAAAAATTTCAGTAAAATTTTTCCACCAGGACTGGGAACCATGTAAACCTAAATTTAGTGTTTATGTGAATCATATAAATCTAAATTTTGTGTTTTGTTTTTTCAAAGCGATGGTACATTGCCGCCACCGGAAGATATGAACGCATTGAATACAGAAGAGAAATATGATATACTTCCGGAGTCCATGTATATCCCTCCGGGAAAGAGATTAAAAAGTCAAACGGAAGAAGATGACGATATTTATTATTCACATGGGTACGCCAATTATTTAGGCCCTCAATTAAATTTCCAGTATACCTTGGCAGAGAATGGTGGACAGGATTGGTCGGTAAGTAAACTTTATGTATAATTTAAAACTTGCAATCCAGAATTTATAAAATATTTACGCAAAGTATGTTGAACTGTACTTATTTAATTGTTTTTATTTCATGAGTTAAATTAAAATCTATATATATTCTTACATAACATGTTCCTACTTGAAAATCAATTTTGTCTTTTAATGATAATTGTAATTAGTTTTTATAATTTTTGTATGGAATATTTCATGTAACTTGCAAACAATTTCTTGTATCATCTTATTCATTAAATTGTAAGAAGATAAAGTAAAATAATAAAGATAAAAAAGTAAGAGATTTTGCTTGGAAATGTTTGCTTTGTATCTAATTATTAATTGTACACTGTACTGTTAAAAATACATAAGACTGTTCTTTGTCGCTGTACTATATTGTACTTTCTCTTTAAATATATGGATACTTTCCATTTCGCAAATCGATATAAATCATTCTTGATATTATTATTTGAGTTATCGGAAATATCCAATAATGTTTGTACCGACTTGTATCACAAAATGGAAAGCATTCATGTTTAATTCATTTTAAATACAATGTATTATATATTAGTTTAGCTACAAAGAATAGTCACCTTATGAATCTGCTTATTAAATCTGATCATTTAAACTTTCATACAAGTTATCAGATTAATCTGTTTATATTGTAATCTTGTGTTTAATGTGTTTAACCAAATATTGTATACTGCAGGTGTAAGCTTTTTGTGTAGTAGATAAATTGGTGCTAAATGTATCTTACGTATCAAGTGTGATGATTTTCTGTTAACATTGATATAAACTAAACTATTTTATGAACCAAACTTTTATAATGTTGCATATAGTATGTATGATTCTTAGTATCATTCTTTTATATAGTTATAATAATTTAATATATTTATTTATCTGTTTATTTTTTTCATGTAGTACTCTCAAAAATCGAAAAGAGTATTTCTAAAAATGGAAAAGACACTGCCTTTACGATTTACATGGGAAGCAGCTGCATCCGGTTTATTTTTGCGTACAAAATTAGTTTTTGTATTAGAGCAATATAAAAACGATCCAGTAAGACGATGCCCTAATCATATAGCATCAACCAATTATATTAATCAATCAATGGATCCGGAAAGAATTAAACATGTAGTCCATTGTGTTAATCATGCCGCGAGTATTTACGAAGAACAAAATGAACATCTTTCTATCTTAACACCGCTTTGTACACCCGAACCTGGGTCGCAATATTTTCCAATGTGTTTCAAGTTTTTTTGCAAAAATAGTTGTACATCCGGTATGAATCGTAGAGATACTGAGCTAGAATTCACTTTAGAAGATAAAAGAAACAAAGTTTTAGCTCGGCAAACATTGGGAATTAAAATATGTAGTTGTCCCAAACGCGACAAACAAAAAAGCGAGACAGATCTGGAACGATCAATATCTGTCAAACGAGAGATGTTAACATCGGGGAAAAAGCTACCGTCTTATGACACGCACGTTTATAAAGTCGAATTAAATATCGTCGGCAAAGAAAATTATTTATCAGTTTATAAATATGCATATGATATTATGGCTGGTCAAGCAGCGAGAACTGGTCAGCATGAATGTTTTAAACCATATATGGATGAAATATCACGCAAAGTGCCTTTAAACCATTGATAATTCCAAGTTTCAAATCCCGTTTTTGCACGATAATTTTCATTTAATGAAAAGAAATAGATTAAGTTTTAATAGATAAGATTTTTTTATTAAAAATGTTTCATTTTTGCTAATTAATTTTTTATCTTATAAGTATGCATGTGCATGTTATGTGATTTTATTATTATTCGATGTTCGTAATTAATGTTTACATATTATGTTTATATGTTAAATACTGAAAATGTATTAAAATAGCATTTTAATTAATGACTTCTTTTTACGAGTTATAAAATAAAGTTAAAATGCTATTTTTTAAGCATGAATTTAAGTTGAATCTCCTACATTAT